AATTAACTACTCTAATCGCTTTGGTCAATTTTTTGAAGAGACCCAGTCTGAAGGTAGACGTGCTTATCTTCGGCAGTTTGACCATTTTATTAGCACCAAAGGAAAGTCTTCTATAAAATATTTTACGACTTGCTTTTTCTGCAACTGGTATACCGTCATGATCACATCTACATTTTGCTACTTACACTTGCAAGTAATCTTCGAATCTAATGTTTCTGGCATCCGTCATCAGAGACGTACAATCTTGACACAAAGTCTGTGGTTATGCTTACAGTCCCTAATAATTATTGACTTCACAATAATTTTTCTATATATTATAATATGATAATATCAACATGGCCTAATTCAAAGTTTCTCCATCTATCAAAAAAAGAAAATATTTATATCTCCTACAGTTCTTTTCAGTTTGTAATTGACGAGCGCCTTTGTATTTCTTATACGATAGTGCATGTTCAGTAAGATTTGCAAGAGTTAAAAGAGATATAGAATGTGAGCCTCCCATGGCTGAAGTACCGTACGTGGTCTGGTTGCCTCAGAGATTCGATGTTGATTTTCTAATTCCTTTTATGCCTAACTTTGATATTAATCAAAATACATATATTTACTTTATGAAATAATGTTAAGGATCTTCTTTTGGATGTCATTATTATTTATGTACAGTTCCGAAAGTATTTATTAAACGCGAAAAATCTTTTTGGAGTGCGAATGTGATAAAACACAAAGTTACAAAAACCAACGTGACAAACGAAAGGAAAAATGTAGTAGTATGGGTTATCTCTTGATTGGCACACAAACTTTCTTATACAATAAAACATGCTAAACACTTCAAATACATACACGTTTAATTATGTTTAGAAATATTAAGATATACTGATTAAATAAACAATATGAATTACTAATAAAATTTGTTACAGAATAAAATTTTAAACACTTTTCACATTCTTCTTAGAATTGTGTCTGAAATTATTTTATTCTCTCTAAAATTAGCGGACTGTAAACAAATGTGTTGACATAATTCATATTGACAAATGAGCGTCTGAGATTAAGTGTTTCATTCTTATACAGTAACTAGTTCTTGAAACTATATACAGTTTTGTGGATGTAGTTTCATACATTACTGTTTAATATTGTATTCTCTATTACGACCTAGTTTTATTGACTAAACGTATTTAATGCGGATCACATAAGATGTATAGTGGAGACATATTCCCAACCACCAGCGATATAAACACTAAGTCTTGAGAATATATTATCCTTGGACGTTCAAACTTCTTTCAGCATAATGAGCTGACGCTTCGTGAATTGAATTACTAATGAATTAGCGGAATATGATTCATCTCTATCTTTGAGTAGAAAAGTCGATAGTGCTCTGACTACTGTAGATGATACATTCCAGTGGTCAGATTGTTTTTATTATTACAAGTTACTTTGCGAAATTCTGTCAAAAAGTGATTTATAGGCAATCAAATGTCACTAGAAGTCTTCAATCTCTTACCTAAATATTTTAAGCAAAGTTTTTAATGTGAAACGGGCGTATGGGCAGCCCGTGGACTTAATCGTTGGGTTCAACTTCACACTCTTTACAAAGAAACTTATTTAGATTTCGTGTTGTGCTTTCGCAACTGGAACACACAAGCCACTAACTCGAGGAAGTTTACGCGTGGAATGAAGAACTTATACAGAAACAACTGAATACAAATCAAATAACTTCTTTATGTATACGCTGTTAAACAGTTCATTTACATTGAAACTCTAAAGGTTGTTTTGGGATAACTTCTAAATCATTTAGCTCTCCATTTTGAAACTCTAGATGTTCGTTAATAAGCTCTTCTATTACATTCAATAACATAGATACAACATTAGTTAAGTTAACATAAGAAATTCTCTTGGTCATAATCTGTACAACTGCATCAGCAATTCTTCTAAGATATCTTTAAGTAGTTCCACTTTAAGCATTTTGAAATCTACTGCCAATATTCTTTACTTTTATCTCTTTATACATTATTGAACTTTAAGTGAAACACTGTTAGGGAAGAACAGAAATAGTATACTAACGAGGAGTTTGTGCAGCAAACTTCTTGTAGATTCTGAATTACTGCCATTTTCTTCTGGAGTCAGATCAGGTCCTCGGAGCAACTTGATAAGTGCGGAGAAGTCGATGAAGTCGGAGTAGCGCAGTTTAGAGTCGGAAACACGAAATTATATACAACATTTTTAGTGTTTTTTTTCCGATTTTTCCAGAAGTTTTGCAGATATACTTTTAAAAGTAGTTATTTCAACTCGATTGGTACAAGTAGGATCTTCCAGCAACAAGTTGACTATTTCATCAGATTGTAACCAAAATCCTTCTTATTATTGGTCCTTTCAGAACTTATTTCTGTTTGTTATCTAATATTTTTGGTGAAATCATCAAGACAATTAACTTAGGGCGTATAGAGACAAACCCTGTAATTCCAGACTCTTCGCTATGAGTTTTTCACCTGTCTTTCATCGCCCGTTAATTGATTTTTTTTATGTGTGATATTGGTTCATTTCGTCGCTCATTTTATCTAACTATTGGTGTTTTCTCAACATACCACATCTGTCTGTTAAATTCTTGCCCTCTGAGGTTACGACAGGATTGCTATGGGCCTCAAGCTTGCATCTTTCCTGTCTAGTATTGCGGTTCAGTAGTTACTATCTACGCTTTCTTATAACATTTTCAAATTATAACATCGATAACGCTTTCTCCAAACTATGTTATTTACGTTACAAATAGAAATGTACTTCTTGAAAACCTTCACATATTTAATATACTTAGTATTTGTATTCTACAAATACTTTAGAAGTGTTGATTTATCATTTCTATGAACTTAAAAGTGGATCACTCTGAAATGTTCTTCAATAATACGATATTTTGCCATTTATTCGTTGATTATGATTTAGTAAAACTCTGAAAGAGTATATTTAGTATTTTGTTTACATTTTGTCCAGTCCGGAACTTTCACGCTTGGACAAATGAATATGGAAAATAAGAGCAATATAAAAGAAAAACAGAGAAGTTAGACAATTCGTTACAGGGTAAGTAACTTATATTTCTTCTATTTGCAATTATG